ATTTTGTTCAACATTTTCACGTATCATAGAAAATTGAACTATTAACGGCGGTACATCTATCATCTACATTTACAGTTGTTGTTTGTTTTTTTATGTATATCTATCTATATCATTTTTTTTTTTTTCTTTTTATGATGAATTGAAAGAGAGGTGAAGAAAACATTGTTATACATGGTAATACTTAATTAAAAATTTATGAAAAACATAATTAACTGTAAAACATATCGACGATTTTGTTATCATCTATGAGATAGACATACAATTGAAAAAAAAAAATGAAATGAACCTGTTATAAATGGTTTTGAAACAGATTTTTCTCTAAATGACAAATATCTTTTTTTCTTTTTTTTTTCCCCAAAGATTGTGCGGACCTTTTGATTAAAGCAAAAAAAAAACAAAAAAAAAACATCACTTTTAATTTGCAAAGTTTTTGAGATCATATTGTTACATATTTTATTTGTTAACCAATAGATTCTAATTAATGAACATTATGAAATAGAAGATGTAAAGTCGATTTAATTCCCTGTACACATGTCGATTGTATTACAGTGAAAATTTTTATTCTAATATAACAGTTATCAAGAAGTATCGAGTAAAATACAAGTTAAAATCATAAAAAAGATGAGTATTTCATTTTGATCTCTTGACAATTTCAAATTTGTTCACTTGAAAATTTCTAATACTTTTTTTTTTTTACATATATTAGACAAACTATTAATCGGCTTACCTCTTTTAAGAATAATTGATAAATAGGACTCATCGTTATAACGAGTGTTATTTAAGTGTTTTACATTTCAAAATAATACTGATTCAAGTCAATTACATCTGCTTCTTTTCTTTTGTTTATCAGATGACACACACACACACACATATTATATTGGTATGTCGCTCTTGGCTTGTTGTGTTTTATGCATATGTTTGATTGTAATTTTTATCATGTTTCATCATACGTAATTTGAGATATTTTCGTAAGCATACAGTTTAGAGTTTTTGAGAATAATAAGAAAAAATAAAAATAAAACATGAATAAAAAACATCGTTCGAATTTAATTATTAAAACACAAATTAAATAATGAACCTTTTTTTAGCATTAGAAATTATTTGTACAAATATTAAAATTGATGAAAATGAAGTAGTTGATAAACAAGGTGTAAACAATGGTGTCATAGGACCTGTTGTTATTATTGTTGTTGTTATAGCGAGAAGAAAAAAAAATCTAATCTTTACATTAATAGAATATCTACTTTTATATATCATTAAATAAAAAAAAAAAAAACGTACGTCAATGATAGAAAACATATTATCATATGGATGTTTTTACTTTCTCTCACTCTCTCTTTCTTCTTCTAATCGATCTATTCATAGATATACATATCTTTTTCTTTATTTTTTATGAATAATTGTCATTTTCCGGAAAACGACAAATGATCTACGTGTGTGTGTGTGTATAGATGTGTTTTTCTATGACACCTTTACCGAAATAAAAATTGTTTTCTTATTTTTTTTTTTTCGCTGTATCCAATGAATTAAGAATAATAGTAATGAACAAACGCATACTTCTAATCTGATGTTATTTGGAAAATATATGTACGTCATTTACAACCATTTCAACAATCATAAAAAAAGATTATAATAGTGATAAGTACACTAATTATTGTTATTTGTAAATAAACTTAGTTTCTAATTCAATGAGTAGTGTATAAATCTTTTCTACAATAAGTTAGAAAATGATTATTTATTTGTTTCCAAGAAAACACTGATTTTTTACTCTAAAAATGTAAAGACAATAAAGTAAGATAGAAGTAGATAAATTATATGTTATATAGACAGGTAAGTTATATTTTTTAGAAGAATGTAATATAAATATGCATATCAAACATGATCAATGCAACGAGAGAGAAATTCTATGAAACAATAAAACATTAGTTCTTTACTCATTTGTCACGAGTGTATGTATTTGTATGATAAAAAGATGCACACCATTCTTTTAACTAAAGTAAGTTTTATTTTATGACAGTGTAGATGATATTTTGAATTATAAAGTCTGGATCATTTGTAGAGAAAGGCGAAAAACAATTTATTGTATAGGTTTAATGTCTAATGGTTATAGTATAAACGTAAATGATATGTCATCCTTAACAGTTCTAACATTTTCGGTAAAGAGTAAGAAAAAGTAAAAATAAAACTAGAGGTAAAATAGTCTCAGTAGTATTAACTCTATTATATTCCAATGTCAAAACAATATTTCAACGCTAAATATTTGTATACCCACAGAACATTTTTTTTTTCGAAAGATTATACGACGAACAAATGTTGTTGTTTTCCTCAGGCTCTCCTTATTTTTATACACATAGAATATATGTTATACTGGGATCACGATAAACTTGTCTAAAACAAGAAAAGATTATCCGACACGTAATGTTTTAATACATTAATTGATCTATCTCTATATCGACCTAATAGAAGATATTAGTATAATAATTAGCAACTATTTTTGGTATGTAGACTGACTGTCAGTTTTTCGCTCTATGTCTAACTATCATTTTAACGTTTGATAATTAATGATAATAATAATAATAATAATAATAACAATAATAATAATAATAATAATAATGATAACATTCTAAACTGTCAAAAGAAAAGCACATATATACATATAAGTTGAGAAGTTAGTTTGTATGTGCAAGTGTATCCTAATCATATCTTAATTTGTTGAAAGTATCATAAATTCTATACTTATCAAAAATAGAATGTAAACTTTAAAAATAAAAAATAAAAAATAATAACAATAAATTGATTCTCTTTTAAATAAACATATTATTTTCTATGTGAGATAAAATAATATTTACTCTGATCTAAAATTGAAGAGTATCAATTTATTTATGTACATATTAGTCATAAATATAGATATTAATAGTTGTTAAGTATATGACATGTAGATCGACTCATATAATTTGTCATTTATATTCATGTTGTTCTCGATTTTTGCCATTTTTTTTCTTTCGATCATGCTTGTTAAAGTTAAAGTGCTCAGAGAAAATAAAAATACAAAAAAAACAACAACAAAAAAAAAGAAAAAGAAGAAGAAACAAAAGAAGTTTATTCGAGCAATCAAAAACAATTAATCAAGTATGACGTATGCATGCAATAATTTAGAATCCATATGAATTATGACTAATCATCTTAAATTAATCAAGTCTATTTAAATAGAAAAAAATGTCCATTATTAAAATTATTCACAATACTTCACTAACTAACTTTCATTCACTATTTAAAAATCTTCTTCTCATAAATAAATAAAAATAAAAAAAAAAAAAAAAAAAAAAAAAAAAAAAAAAATAAAATATAAAAAAAAAATAAAAAAAATTTTATAAAAAAAAAAAATTTTTTTTTACTTAAAAGACAGGTTAAAAAATTAATATTT